AATAGACGGGCCGAGTGGCGCGATACGTGCCGAACTGAATTTCTTTCGGCCAATTCCCCCTGCCCAACGCTGATGGTGACTCCTAGTCTCAGTTGTTATACCTCGCATAGCGCGCAGAGGGAGTGGAGGACTCCAGAATATCTGTCGTTGATGTCTATTGACTTGCGGACCCCTCGGGGCCAGTGTATTTGAGCGTACCTTTAGGGTAAGTTAACCTGTGACCACGGGAATCGACCGCGTCGAGNGCAAGCCAACAACCAATGGGGCCGGAGGGGAGCAGGAGACGGGCGAGAGGGCGAGGGAAGAATGCAAACGAGAATAGACGGGCCGAGTGGCGCGATACGTGCCGAACTGAATTTCTTTCGGCCAATTCCCCCTGCCCAACGCTGATGGTGACTCCTAGTCTCAGTTGTTATACCTCGCATAGCGCGCAGAGGGAGTGGAGGACTCCAGAATATCTGTCGTTGATGTCTATTGACTTGCGGACCCCTCGGGGCCAGTGTATTTGAGCGTACCTTTAGGGTAAGTTAACCTGTGACCACGGGAATCGACCGCGTCGAGTGCTGGATCAGTACGGACATACGAAGGTACTGGGTAGAGGAAGATCGGAACGGTTTTTAATGTGAAGACAACAACAACAACAACAACAAACGGCCTTTGGTGCGCGAGTTATTGCTTGCGACGGTAAACGGACGGTGACCGGTGCGACAGAAAGCGGCGAGAGAGTCGACTCGAGGAGCCCGTTCGCGGCATTCTCGGTGGTCTCAATTAGCCAATCAGCGTGCGGCCTCGGGGTCACTTCGTTGCAAACCCCTTTGCGCCCCCCCTCGGAATGCGGTTTTCTGTCGTGTGTCCATACCGCACTCTCCCGGCGGAAATGCGGAAACTCAACGCCCGAGACAGATAAGTGGTGGGTCCTCTACGGGGTGGGTTTACATAGGGCGGGTGGCTGGCCTCTAGGGCGGGTGAAATCTCTTGGCAAGGATTGTGGCACGCATGGAGCAATCAAGCTGTTAAATGCTCTAATCGAAGGGTGGGTGCCCGCCATAGGGTCAGGTGGGTCGGTCTGGCACATGTGCCCGCCCTACCGAGGGCCCACGACACTGTGTGGTACGTTCAACAAAATATATTACAGTGCCGAATGTGGAGGAGTAGGTGTTGCAGCCATTTGGTGCACATACAAGAGCGGGACACAGACACGGTGAGCGGTGTATCTTAAAACACTACCATGGATACGACGCTTCCAAAGTCACCTGGGTGGGATGGGAAGTGGGAGGTCTTCGACGACCTCTCCCTTCGGTGTCACTCTCTCACCGGATACGACAAAGGTACGGTAACCCGCAAAAAGTACCATGGAATATCCATCTCCGCGAGAAGGTGAGGCGGGCTCGGGCGAATTCCACAGCCCAAGGCAGGATCGAACCGACACAATTTTTTATGTACGCAGGGTTCGGTGCTTCAAAAATCTCTGTTCGTACTTCTCCATTAGCTTTTCTGCATACACATGGATGTAACATGCGTGATATGAGTACCAAGGAAACGAGATTTAGAACGGAAATTGGTCGTGAAGAAGTGATTGGGTGTGCATCCTCTAAACAAAGGGTCGGGGTGCGGGAAAGGGTTACTGACATTCGGTCTCGGATGACGGAAGGGTATCATCGAAATTTCGCTTCCCCCTAATCGGGTTTTCGTCGCTTGGCAACGACGTCGTCAAACAAGCCCCCCTCCTCGGTGTTTGCCATCGGGATTGGGGTTTCGTCGCTTGGCAACGACGTTGTCAAACGAGCCAATTCACTTCGTGAACTCGGCAACCAGGTTACCATTCTTTTTTTACGTCTGTTTTTTTTTTTGCCGGCAACCATAATGGTGGTCGAGTAGATCATGTGCGGGGTGGAGAACCCTCACTCCGCGCAAGGGGGATGATCGCACCACGTTGTGTTAAAATGGTCAAGCACCCTCGAGGTAGTTACACACTGCTTACAACTGTCTGTGGAAGTGAAGCACCAGATAATAAATTAAGGTCATACGCAGCTGTCATCCGTACGGAAGGAAGTAAGCACAAGATGCCGAACACCCTTAGCAGGATGCAGCGCACCCTTCATGCGACTCGCCGAATATCTCACGGCGCTTCGCGCTTGGTGATGTGAGAGCCTGGTCCGGTGAGAACCCGG